ACTTCAGATTTCAGTAGGTTTTGGAAGCATATGGCATATTATTTCTGGAGAATTAAGTTTGAGTCACTGCACTCCTAGAATATCTTGTCTTGGGAAAACTTCTTAGTGATGATTCATTTATTACTATATAGTTGAATTGTTTGTTTTTATTGTACAGACATAATTTAAATGGGAAGAAAAGCATTGTGTTTATACAGCTAATTTCACAGTGTATTAAGGGAATCCGTTGGTCTCTTACTCATTAGCAAGTAACAAGACCCTAGAGAATCTGAAAGAGACAACTGGCTTGTAGTTCCAAGGGAATGAGACTATAAGCATCTTCCAGGGTCCTGTGGGAAGAAGTGGCTGCTCTCCTTTGGAGACACCTTTGAAAAAGTTCTGACAGTTCAGGCCAGTGAAAGATTCTATTAATTAAGTAAAAGACAAACTTCCCACAGGACATTTGAAATGAGGCTCTGCAGCCCTGCTGTCACTAACATGTGGTGTTTTTTCTGAGCTGCCTTGTCACATTGGTTGTTCATGTTATTTAATTTACTCTTTCTCCACCTGGATGTTAATGGAATTGTATTCCGCTTTTTTTCCAGAAAGAAGATTTATTATATAAAGGTCTCTCTTTAACTTGTTACAAAGAATGTGTTTTTCTCTTAGTTTCCAGTAGATAGCGTCTAATCCTCTTGGACCCCTGGTTATATAAAATCTTAATAATGCCTTTTTTTTTCTTATAGATATTCAATCACACTCACTATACTCAGTTTCAGTTCCTGTCAGTGTTAGCAACAGTTTCTGCAGTGTTTGCTCAGATTCCTCTGGGGCTCCGCAGTGTTTGAACTTAGAGGATATGGGAAGAGGGCCCTCTGGGTTGGGGTATGGAGGCTGAGGCTCAGCCTTGCATTTTGCAACCCCAGCTTTTAATAATAAACTGTTTCTCTTCCATCTCCCATTCTCTGCAGTCCCCATTTGTCAGCTTTCTGCCCTGAACCCTGGGCACTGCCACAGCCCACATGGAGGTCACAGCTCTGTCAGGCGGGGCTGTTCAGGGAAACTGCTGTACCTTCACCCTTCTCCCTCTTCCTGCAGAGAGCTCCAGCTGCAAAAGGCAGCTTCTTTGTTTCTCCCTGTCCACCATTGGTCTCCCGGGATTCTTATCTGTGGTAGCTCTTATGTGCAGATTCCTTGCTCAGATGTGCTGGAGTGCAGTTTGGGTGTTTTTTGTTAAGTTTTAGATGTTCAGCTTATTGTTATTTCAAGGAGAGAGACCTGGGGATGTCTCTAACTCTGGCATGTTTCTGACATCAATCCTCTCAGGGGTTATTATTTGCTGGTGCATTTCTAAATTACTTGAAGTTGATAGTGGGATTTCTGTTCTCTTCCTGGAGGACTGATACCTCCTTGTCAACTTTTTTAGTGCACCTACAACTTCCTTGTTTCTGAGACTATAGGCAAGAGTGTTCAGGAGAGGGGAGAGAATAAGTTCAAACAGAAAAAGACCCTGATTCAACTTTGGAGTCTTGGCAGAGCCAGTTTTCGTGAAGATACATATACCTGGACCAAAATAGAGACCCACCACCCAGAGGTGAGAGAAGCAAGTGGCCAGAGCCTTATTTCTGCCTTCTCAGGAGTTCATCCCGAGTACAAGGAAGATGAGAACATAGGAGGACAAGATGAGAGATAAAGGCAGCAGCAAAATGAGTATGCCTGTCACCACCACTCCCTTCTTGTAGCCTGAGATGTCCTCACACACAATCCTAAGGACAGCCATGACTTCACAGAAAAAGTGAGCGATCACCCTGGGGCTGCAAATATGAAAATGCAGCATGAAAGCAGTATGGCTCATGGAAGTAAGTGCCCCTCCAGCCCAAGACATAACAATCATCTGCAAGCAAACCCTAGGACTGATGATGACAGGGTACCGGAGGGGATTACAGATGGCCACATAGCGATCAAAGCACATGACAGTTATAAGGATGCATTCTGCAATGGCAACAGTCAGGGAGAAGAATATTTGAGTCCCACAAGCCAAGAATGAGATGCTCTGCCATCCAGAGAAGTTGGCCACCATCTTGGGGATAATGCAAAGATCAAAGTCAAATCCATTAAGGACACAGTTGACTAAGCAGAAAGTACATGGGGGTGTGAAGTCGTGAATCCAACCAAATGAGCAGGACTAGCAGGGTGTTGCCAGTGAAGGCGGCCGTGTAGATCAAAATGGTTAACATCATGGTTGTGAGGTGTTTAAATTCTGGGAAGAAGCCTGACAGGGTGAAATCTGTGGGTTCTGTCTCTTTTCTTCTCCACATGACTGGTGACAACAGAAAGGGAAGAGATTTGTAAAAACTGTCATAGTAGTAAACAGTTTCTTATTAAAGTCTTTATAAAGAACAATATTATAACAATGATAAACATAGAAATATTCATCCATGATTACTTGAATCAATTCTTAACATCCAATCAAAACAGTGAAAAGGAAAAAATAAAAATAAATCAGGATAGTTTAAGGGTCCTCTGAAGCAACTTCAAGTGTACCAACATTCACATCATAGAGGTACCAGAAAGAAAAGAGGGAGAGGAAATGGGAAACTAGTTGAAGAAATAATGAGTAAAAACAGGCCTAACCTGGCAAATAAAATAAAAATACAAGTCTAGGAAGTGTAAAGAATCCCAAACAAGATGAACCCAAAGAGGCCCACAGGAAGACACATCATCATTAAAATGCCAAAGATTAGGACAAGGAGAGAATCTTAAATGCAGCAAGAGAAAAACAGTTACTTACTTTCAAGGAGCTCCCATAAGCCTGTTTGCTAGTTTCTCAACAAAAACTTTGCAGGCCAGAAGGGATTGGCATGCAATATTCAGAGGTAAAAAATCAAGGTCCTACAACCAAGATTACTCTATCCAGCAAGGCTATCAAAAGACATGAGGTCACTGCATGGATAAGAAAACAAGTCCCATACAGATGCTGTCTTCAAGAGACCCACTTCAAATTGAAAGACACACGAAGACTGAAAGTAAAGATAAAAAAAGATATCATGCAAATTAAAATTTTTAAAAAGCTGGTGTCGCAAAACTTACATGAGATAAAATGATTTTAAAATAAAGGCTATAAGAGACAAAGAAAGACTTTACATAATGATAAAGGAATCAATCCAACAAGAGAATATAGTCCTAGAACACATTTATGCACCCAACATAGCAGCACCTCAATATATAAAGCAAATGTGACCAATGTAAAGGTAGAGATTGGCAATAATACACTCATAGCAGGAGACTTTAACATCCCAGTAACACCAATGGACGGATCTACCAAATAAAAAACAAGGAAACAGCAAACTTAAATGAGACACTAGACTGGATGGACTTAATTGACATTTTTAGAGTGTTCACCACATAGCAGCAGAACATACATTCTTCTCAAGTACACATGAAACATTTCCCAAAAGAGACCATATGTTAAGTAGCAAAACAATCCTCCATTAATTTAAAAGACTGTATTCATATCAAGAATTTCTCCAACCACTATGTTATGAAGCTAGTAATAAATTACAAGAAAAAATTGAAAAACACACAAACACATAGAGGGTAAATAACAAGCTACTAAACAAGGAACGTGTTGTCAATGAGATCAAGGAAGAAATCAAAAGATATGTTGATACAAGTGAAAATTAAATACAAAGTCTCAAAATCTATGGAACAGAGCTAAAGCACTGCTAAGAGGGAAATTCACAGTAATACTGGCTTACCTCAATAAAAAGAAAAATCTCAAATAAAAAAATCTAACCTTACCCTTAAAGAAACTAAAAAAAAAAAAAAAAAGCAAAACAGGACAAAAGTGAGTAGAAAAAAATCAGACTAAAATAAACAAAATTGAGTCTGAAAAACAGTACAAAAGATCAACGAAGCCAAGAGCTAATCCTTAGAAAGGATAAACAAGATTGATAAACTTTGTAAAATATATTTAAACTTTTAAATTGTTAATTAACTTTATTAAAGCAATATTGATTAATAAAATCATGTAGGTTTCAAGTATACAATTCAATAATACATAATATGTATATTGCATTGTGTGTTTACCACCCAAAGTTAAACTTCCATCTTTCTAAATCTGAGGTCCATGAGTTTAGTACATATGTTTTCATCTATATAATTTATTGTTTCAGGTCTTATGTACTCATCAAGAAAAAAAGAGAGAACTAAAATAAATTCAGAAATGAGAGAGTAGTGACAACTGACTCCACAGAAATATAAAGGATTATAAGAAAATACTACAAGCAATGTATGCCAACAAATTGGATAATTTGGGGAAAAGGTATAAATTTTTAAAAATACAAAATCTTCCAAAACTGATATAAAGAAGATTACTGAAAATCTGAATTGACCAATTACTACTAACAAAATTGAAGCAGTAATCAAAAAACTTACAACAAAGAAAAGTCCTGAACCAGATGGCTTCACTGGTGAATTTTGCCATACATTCAGAGAACTATTAATATCTATTCTTCTCAAACTACTTTTAAAAATCAAGAAATGGAAAGCTTCCCAAGCTCATTTGAAAAGGCCACCATTACCCTGATTCCAAAATTAGACAAAGATGTCACAAGAAAGAAAGAAAGAAAGAAAGAAAGAAAGAAAGAAAGAAAGAAAGAAAGAAAGAAAGGAAGAAAGAAAGAAGAAGAAGAAGAAGAAAGGAAGGAAGGAAGGAAGGAAGGAAGGAAGGAAGGAAGGAAGGAAGGAAGGAAGGAAGGAAGGAAGGAAGGAAGGAAGAAAATTATAGGCCAATACCCTTGATGAACTTAGATGCAAAAATCATCAACAAAATATTAGCAAACCAAATTCAGTGATGCACTAGAAATATCATACACCATGATCAAGTTGGAATTATTCATAGAATGCAAGTTTTGTTCAATATCTACAAACCAATAAGTGTGACATACCACATTAACAAATTGGAAGATAGAACCATATGATCATATAAATAGATGCAGAAAAATCATTTGACAAAATCTAGCATCTTTTTGTGATAAAAACTCCTAGCAAATTAGAAAAAAGATATGTTTTATATCTCAACAAAATAAAGATTATATATGACAAACACACAGCTAACATTATATTTAGTGCGGAAAGGTTAAAATTGTTTTCCTTAGGATCAGGAACAAGAAAAGGATGTTTACCTTTATTATTTTTATTTAACATAGTATTAGAAAATTTGGTACATATATACCATGGAATATTACATAGCCATAATAATAGACGAAATACTGCCATTTGCAACACAAGAATGGATCTTTAGATCACCATGCTAAATGAAATAAGTCAGACAGAAAAAGTTGAGAACCATATGATTTCACTCATATGTGGGATATAAAACCGAAAGTATCAAACCAGCATGACATCAAGCAGAGACTCATGGACATGGACAATAGTTTAGTGGTTAGCAGAGGGAAGAGGGGGAAAGGGGAGGTAGATAAGAGTAGAAGAGTTCACCCCAAATACATTTAACAAATAAAGAAGTTTTAGCCACAGCTATCGGACAACAAAAAGAAATGAAGACATCCAAATTGGAAAAGAAGAAGTAAAATTATTATTTGCAGATGAGATGATAGTATATGTAGAGAATCTCAAAGATTTCACACACACACACACACAAATCCAGAACTGATAAATGAATTTAGTAAAGCAGCAGGATACAAAATTAATATTCAGAAATGGTTGCATTTTTATACACCAATAATGAACTATCAGAAAGAGATTAAGAAAACAGTCTCATTGACAATTGCATCAAAAATATTTAGAAAAAATTTAACTAAGGAGGTAAAAGACGTCGTTGTAAAATTATAAGCTATTTAAAAATTAAATTTTGAAAAGACACAAATAAATGAAAGCATATGCTATACTCATGAGTAGAAAAATTTAACGTCATCAAAATATCAATACTACCCAAAGCAATCTATAGATTAGATGCAATCCCTATCAAAATATCAATGGAATTTTTCACAGTACTAGAGCAAATAATTTTAAATTTTATATGGAATCATAAAAGATTCTGAGTAGCCATAGCAATCTTGAGAAAGTACAAAGTTGGGGGTGTCACACAATCTGATATCAAATTATATTGTAAGGCTACAGTAATCAAAACAACATGGTACTGGCATAAAAGCAGACACATTTATCAAGAGAACAGAATAGGGAGCCTAGAAATAAACCCACACCTACATGATTATGTAATCTATTACAAAGGCATTAAGGAGATATAAGAAGGTAAAGACAGTTAATTCAATAAATGGTGTTGGGAAAACAGGGCAAATACATGGAAAAAAATAGAACTGGATCACTCTTTTACATCAAAGACAAAAATAAACTCAAAATCAATAAAGGCCTTAAAAGTAAGATCTGAAACCTTAAACCCCTAGAAAAAAAACATAAGCAGTAAACTCTCTGACATTGCTGTTCCTTATATATTTTTTTCTGATATGTCTCTTCGAGCAAGGGAAACAAAGAAAAAAATAAACAAATAGGATTACGTAAAACTAAAAAGGTTTTGCACAGCAAAAGAAACCATCAACAAAATGAAAAGAAAACCTATTGAATGGGAGAAGATATTAGCCAGTGTTACATTTGATATGGGGTTAATATCTAAAATTTATAAAGAACTCTTACAACTAAACACAAAGAAAAAGTTCCACAAACAATTCAATAACAAATGATCAATGGACCAGAATAAGGATTGCTTCAATGCAAACATACAGATAGCCAATGGACCTATGAAAAGATAGTCAATGTCACTAGTCATCAAAGAAATGCAAATTAAACGCACAATGAGATATCACTTCACATCTGTCTGGATGGTTATCACCAATAAATCACAAAACAGTGTTAGGGAGGATCTGGAGAAAACAGAACCCTCATGCACTGTTGGTGGGATTGCAAATGGCTGTAGCCACTATGGAAACAGTTTAGAGGTTCCTCAAAAAAATTAAAAATAATATCTTATGACTCAAAAATTCCACTTCTTGGTATTTAAGAAAACCAGAATAATAAATCAAAAAGATATTCATCCCTTTGTTTACTGCAATGGTATTTACAATAGGAAAGATATGGAAGTAACCTAAGTGCCCATCAATAGACAATCAGATAAAGAAGATGTGGTACATATGTAGAATGTAATATTTTAAAAAATTAAATCTTACCATTTGTGACAACATGGATGGATCTGGAATGTATTATGCTAAGAGAAATAAGTCAGACAGATACAGAAAAATACATGTGATTTCACATATGTGTGGAATTTAAAGAACAAAATAAG